AGATCTTTTGAGTAGGAGCATCCCTCTTGCCTGCATATAATTGGCACGGTGAAATTTGAATTTGTCAACAATTTGACTTGAATTGGAGGTGCGTAAGTGTTTCTTGGTTTTTAAGGTGTAGAAATATTGCTTTGGGGAGAATGACTGAAGATGGTTAGCCAGCAAAGTGCCAGCTTTATTCCCGTTTGCGTAAAACTTTTGGCGAAACCAGCGAAAGTGGCGTTCTGCCTCGTCTGTAAGTCAAAGATTAAGCTTTGTGCACAGTTGTTCAACACGACTCCTGTTGAGTGCCAATGGAGATTTTTGAAAAGCTGCGTCGTTGTCTTTAAGTCCTTCTCCAAGATTAGTTTTCGTTGTATGCGTTCCTTGCGGCGACATTAAAGACAATTGAGCGAAGTGGCCACGGATGACTACTTTTGTGAGCTTCCCATAAAGTTGTTGGTCACTAAAATATGGTCTATTCTAGAACGACTATTATGAGAATGAGAAAAGTAGGTGAAATCCTTAGAGGTAGGATTGAGCTCCCGCCAGTCATCTACCAGGTCATTGGATTTAAGCGCATTCACAAAGTCCGAAGATGATGCCGAGGCGGGCAAAGCGTTAGGAGGTAACCTGTCCAAATTTGGATTCGGGATCATATTGGAGTCACCGCAAAGCAGCAGATGGCCCTTTTGATGGGATTGCAGTACAGTTAAAAGATGGGAGAAAAAGCACATTTGTCTTTGGTTCGGAGCATAATGAGTACAGAAAGGGTCCCTACTATGATGAGATATCGACCTTGGAGGTCCGCTATGACCTGATGGTCCAAGAAGGGTACTTCATTGCGGATTGATATGAGGACTCCTTTCTTTTTAACTGGAGCTGTTGCGTGGTAAATGCATTATCTACCATCAAAAAAAACCTGGATTATGCCCAGAGGACAGGTGGGTTTCCTGGCCAAATCAGCCCTTTGAGCCTGAAGATATTTAAAGACCTTAGCTCTCTTCTGGGGTGAATTGAGACCCTGCACATTCAAAGTAAGCCAGTTAAACGCCATTTTGTTGGCATGAATAGATTAGACCTCAGGGATCTCTCAAGGACTGTTCGACACCACCCCCATGGCGAAGGGGGGAAGGGAGAAAAATGAAAAAGGGTAAGGGAGAATAGCCAGGAAAGCAGGAAAAGAGTAAAGATGAGAAGAGATGAGAAAAAAAGATTAGCGACCAAGATAGGCTGTGAATCTCAATCCCTAGAAGCCTTAGTGGCAGCCAAGTACAAACTGTATGCATGAAGTGCATCGCAGTGAGCCCTACACCACTAGTGTTTCGCAGACTTGGGAGAGAAGGGTCAGAAGGTAAGTTTGTTGTGTACAGTATAGTTTTCTTTTCCTACACAGGGGAGATTAACGTGTCCCTGAATGATAATGTATATTTCAAGGCACTGGGCTTTCTCACATTCATATACAAGGATGTAGGTGGTGAAAAGTCACTAAACTTATGTTTTTGTAGTATTCTATATAGGGTGGTTTCTATATCTGGTTACTATATTTCCACCATAGATCAGACCTAGTCATTCCATGTAGGGTCTGATGGGGCTAGTCTTTTTTCCACTTTGCTGTCAGGTCTTTACCTACAGCGTTCTTCAATTACCCTGGCTCTTCTGCTACCCCACCGTGGCTGAGCCGCATTTCCACCAAACTGGCCTTCCTTCCCCCAGAGCTCACCTCCTGATGTGCATACAGTGTGGGAGGCAGATCGGTCAATGGAGCCCCCGCCACCATGTAGCCTGCACCTGATGGAGCAGACGGACTGAGATTACTCTAAGTGGGAACTATATGTGGTGGAGGACAGAGCAGGGAGCTGCCTGCGCTGTATGTTTGTCCTTTGTGCCCCAAGGGAGCTGTTACACTCTTCTCCTACGGGAACACAGTGGCCCTGGGCTCCTGCATCAACTTCAACGTACACTCGCTAAGACTACACCAGGTGTGTGTGTATATATACTGTGTAAGTGGACCTAGGTGTATAAGGGGGGGGTGGGGGGCAGAGGGAGGACAGGATAAGTGTGTATACAGAGGAGGAGGGGGGGCAGGATGTATATACGGGGAGGGACCAGACCCAGTGTGTATAAAGAGGAGGGGGGAGGATGTACAATGGGGGAACCAGAGTGTATATGGGGGGGGGCAAGGCTCAACAAATCCCAGGCACCAGGTTGCCATGGCGACCAGAAACCACATCCTAGCTCTTGGGCATCCACCAGCCCACTCACCATCAACACCTGAAGGAAGCCACTCTCATTGCCCGACGCCTCAGACATGCAGCTCCAGGCGCTGGGCAGCCGATCCAGCTGCAATATGAAAAAAAAAAAAATACCCACAGCAGAGCCAAAGTTTCTCTCTTCCTCTCCACACACCAGCACCCATGCACCTCCCCCCTCCCCCAGCAGACCTGTCATCACATTGCCGAAAGGCTCCCCCTTGGCACCAGCCAATCCATGCACACCTTGACCCACCTCTCCTTCTTCCCCACCAGTTTTCATACAAGCACGGAAGGCCAGCCCACACAGCATATCACAACACACACACATCAAAAACCTCAGCCCAAACTATCCATCCCACCCTGCAGCATGCCCAACTCCAGTCCCCTCCATGTGTAAATTCGAGATCTTCCATCTCTGTTTTTGAAAATAAAGCCCTGTTAGTCAAAAAAACAAAAAAAAAAAACTGGCTCCTATCTTTTTTAGCTGGCTCCTAGATTCAAAGCAAATTTGAGCTAAACTCTGATCTCGTGAGTCACAATCAGTTTTTTGCCCCTTAATTTCCTACAGCTTATGTTCCATTGATACCGTTAGTGGAAGTGTACCCCATCTCGTTTGGATCAATTGGTATAAGGGGAGGTTTGGTCTGTGGACCTGTTTATGTTAGAGACTTAGGGCCTTGTTGAATCTTTTTGTAGTCGTCATCATGTGAGGATTTTTCTCACTCTACTGGATAGTAGACCTTCCCTCTTCTCAGACATGGTTTCTCTCCATGGTGAAGGGGGCGGTCGCCTCATATCGGATTGCGCAGTTCTGAGTTGATGGCCTTCACCGTTTAGGGACTTTTTCTTGTTTTTATTCATAGACAAGGTTGTTTTGAGGCTAGGTCCTTTTTTTCTTTCTAAGATGTTTCCTTCATCTTAACTAGGATTTTGTTCTAACTTTTCCCTGTCCTGTTCTTGTACATTCTCTGGAGCTTCTTTCAGTTATCTGGAAGTGGGATGCGCTTTTTGTAGTTCCACCTCAGCTGTCATTCCTTCTTAGGAATGAAGGCTTCTAGTTGCTCTCTGATCCCTTTGTGTTCTTCTTGTCCTCAGATGTTATTTCTGCCTATTGTTGTCTGTTGTGTGTTGCCCGCCCCTCACTTGAATGAACACTGTAGTCATAAGCACAAAGGCACATCCCAAGGGAGATAATGAAAACTGTCATCAGTGATATGAAACCACTACTGCCATAGTAAATCACATAAGTGAATCCAGGGAGTAGTGTACAGCAGTACTAGACACAGGTCCCTCCCCATTATTCTTTATGATCTCCTTATTGCTTGATACAAAACTAAGGCTACTTGGGAGTGGGAGGGGTTACATGGGGATGTCCCTGAAGCATTTCACTTTTTGACAGTGTGCAGTCACTTGAAGGCGGCAGCATACAGTCATGGCCAAAAATATTGGCACCCCCTGCATTTCTGTTAGATAATGTACCACTTTGCCCATAAAAGTTGTTGCAATTACAAATGTTTAGGCATTCTCATGATTATTTCTTTTGTTTGTATTGATATGACCTAAAATGTGGAGGAACAAAAAGCTAAATGTGATTAATTTCAAAACCTCAAAAATGGACTGGACAAAATTATTGGCACCTTCTCAAAAATGTAAGAAATATTGCATTCCAAGTTTGTGATGCTCCGATAATTTGTAATTAAACTCACCTGTATCATTTAACAGGTGCTGACAATATAGAAATCACACCGACAACCAGTTAAAATTGTGAAAAATTGATTCATCTTTTCTGTTGTGTGTCTTTGTGTGCCATATGGAGCACGGAGAAGAAGAAGAGCAGGATTTGAAGATAAAAATTGTGGAAAAGCATGGACAATCTCAAGGTTACAAGTCCATCTCCAAAGATCTTAATATTCCTGTGTCCACTGTGTGAAACCATGTCAAGACGTTTACAGCCCATGGCACTGTAGCTAATCTCCCAGGACGTGGACGAAAAAAAAAATTGATCAAAGACTACTATGAAGGATTGTTCGAATGGTGGATAAAGAACCTCGATCAACTTCCTGACAAATTCAAGCTGACCTTCAGGCTCAGGGTACAACTATGTCAGCTCGCACTATACGTCGCCATCTGAATGAAAAGGGACGCTATGGTAGGAGACCCAGGAGGACCCCACTGCTGACACAGTAACATAAAAAAGCCAGATTGGAGTTTGCCAAAATTTACCTGAGGAAGCCAAAATCCTTTTGGGAGAATGTGCTGTGGACAGACGAAACAAAATTCTAGCTTTCTGGTAAAGCCCATCATTTTATTTTCAGAAAAGGCAATGAGGCCTTTAACCACCTCCCGCCCGCCATATAGTCCAATGATGGGCGCAAGGTGGTTCTCTCGTTCTGATAGGCCGTCTTTTGACAGCCTTCCATTCTCACCGCGCATGCGCCACCCAGGGAGCGTGCGGCGATCGGCGGTGCTCTGTGTCCCTCGGACACAGCGGATCACCGATCCACGGAAAGAGCCGAAGATGTCGGTTCGGTCATGTGATCAGCTGTGTCCAATCACAGCTGATCACATGTAAACAGGGAAATGTCGGTTATCGGCATTTCTCTCCTCTCGAGCTGTCATGTTGACAGCTCGAGAGGAGAGCCGGTAATCGGCATTCCGCGGAGGGGACATGTACACTGATCATCAGGGCACTGATGATCAGTGTGCCCTGATAATCAATGTGGCCCCAGAAGTGCTACTTGTCAGTGTCCATCAGTGCCAGCTGTCAGTGCTGAACAGTGCCACGTGCCAGTGCCACATCAATGCCACCTATCAGTGCATATCAGTGCCCATCTAAGCTGCCCTTCAGTGTCACCCATCGGTGCCACCTATCAGTGCTGCCAATGAGTGCCGCCTATCGGTGCCAGTCAGTCCTGCCTATCAGTGCGCATCAGTGCCGCTTAACAGTGCCAGTCAGTGCCACCTAACAGTGTCAGTCAGTGGCACCTAACAGTGCCAGTCAGTGCCGCCTATCAGTGCTGCCTTTCAGTGCCCATCAGTGATGCCTGTCAATGCCCATCAGTGCCACCTATCAGTGTCCATCAGTGCATCTTATCAGTGCCCATCACTACAGCCTCATTAGCGCACATCAGTGAAGGAGAAAAATCCCTTATTTACAAAATTTTATAACAAAAACTAAGAAAAAGCTATTTTTTTTTCAAAATTTTCAGTGGTGTTTGGTTTGTTTAAGAAAAAATAAAAAACCCAGAAGTGATTAAATACCACCAAAATAAATCTCTATCTGTCACATAAAAATGATACAAATTTCATATGGGTACAGTGTTGCATGACCGCGCAATTGTCATTCAAAGTGTGACAGTGCTGAGAGCTGGAAATTGGCCTGGGCAGAAAGGGGGTATAAGTGCCCTGTAGGTAAGCGGTTAAAGAAAAGAATAGTTCTACAGTTCCTACAGTCAAACATGGTGGAGGTTCACTGATGTTTTGGGGTTACTTTGCTGCTTCAGGTACTGGTTGTATTGACCGTGTGCATGGCTTTATGAAATCTAAAGACTACCAAAGAATTCTGGGGTGCAATGTAGGGCCCAGTGTCAGAAAGTTAAATCTCCATCATAGGTCATGGGTCTTATAGCAGGACAATGACCCAAAACACATGTCAAAAAGCACTGAGAAATCGTTTCAGACAAAGAGCTGAAGAGTACTGAACCGACCAGCAATGAGTCCAGATCTCAATCCCCTAGAGCACCTGTGAAGAGATCTGAAAACTGCAGTTGGGAAAAGGAACCCTTCCAATCTGAGAGACCTGGAACAATTGGAGAAAGAAGAGTGGTCCACAATTCTAGTATAGAGTAGTAAGAAACTCATTGATGGCTATAGGAAGCGACTGATTTCAGTTAATTTTTCAGGGGTGTGCTACCAAATATTATATGGAGGGTGGCAATAATTTTGTTTTGCATGGAATGTGTCAGCTTTGGCTTTGTTTCTCCACTTCTTTGTGTCGTACCAATACAAACAAAAGAAAAATACACATGAGAATGCCTAAACATTTGTAATTGCAACAGGTTTCTGGGCGAAGTGGTGCATTTTCTGACAGAATTGCAGGTTTGCCCATATTTTTGGTCATGACTGTATAACCCAGGGCTAATGAATACTGTGTCCTGCACTGTACAATGAGAAACAGATCTTACTGGTAAGTCTTTAACTATTATTCTTTTAATTCAGGGTGATTCCACACTTCAGCTTGTGTGTAGTGCATGTTGTGATGTAGGATAAAAAAAACCCAGTACTAGCTCTGCACTTGATGTTTGCTTATGCAGGTTAAACATTAGGGCTGTATCACTTGGAATAAAAAGGACAGTTCTCTCCTGAGTCATTAGGCTGACACATTTAGGTCTGTTGCAGCAATGCAGTAGTAAACCAGCTATCTGTAACTTTAGAGTACCAGACTTTGCTTTTGCCCCCCTCCTGGCTGTAAAAGGGTAAATATGAAATTATGTATGTGTGTGAGACCAGCTTTTTCTACGCGTGTGTTTAGACACAAGAGTTTGTCAGCAGGTTTCAGCTAATTATTTTGGCTGTAACCTGCTGATCAGCTGTGTCCAATCACAGCACAGAGTTCTGTGTTTACAAACACTTCTCCATGAAAAGCAGGAAGACAAAACTGCCATATCTGTGAATAGAAGCAGCACACATTACACTTGTTGGGCACACAGTTAACTCCTTGATGTTAACCTCTTCTCGGCCAGTGTCCTGCCCTTCTGGAGTCTCGCGTTAGAGGTCTGGAGGAGAAAGGGTCAACACTGGGCAGAGCTATCAACCCTGAAAGGGGTCTTCTGCTCTCTGAGCAGGTAGCTAATGGTATTGATGTTGAGGGCGGATGGGCTAATCAGGATTATTAGGTAGGAAGATGGGTTACTGTAACGAGAGGGAGTGGTAGGGGCTCACAGAAAAGGAAGGCTGGCCCTGGGTTTGAGCACCCAAACAGATTTGCCAAGTTGGGTGAAGATGTGGGTGTGGCAAGCTCAGGGGTGGCAGCCCTGGATGTCACTGCTATCCCTAACAGCCGGGATGGCAGACCATCTGGGAGAGGTGGTGAGGGTAGTGCAAGAAGGCCTAGACAGCTGGTGGTAGTAGGGGATTCTAGAATAATCAGTCACCCGAATGGTTTGCTGTCTCCCTGGTGCCAGGGTTCAGCATATGGTGGACCGGGTTGATAAATTACTGGGAGGGGCTGGGCATGACCCAGCTGTCTTAGTTCATGTTGGAACCACTGACAGAATACATGGAAGGTGGAGGCTCCTTAAGAATCAATTTAAAGAACTAGGCTGCAAGTTGAAGGGAAGGACCTCCAAGGTGATATTCTCTGAAATATTGCCTGTGCAATGCGCAACTCAGGCAAGACAGGGGAAGATTAGAGAACTCAATGCATAGCTGAAGACCTGGTGTAAGAGAGAAGGAATTGGGTTTCTAGAGCACTGGGCTGACTTTTCATTGGGGTGCAACCTATATGCTAGAGATGGTCTGCACCTAAATGGAAGGGGGTCTGCTGTGCTGGGGGAGAGGTTTATGGGAAGGCTTGAGGTGTATTTAAACTAGGATCGAGAGGGGGAGGGAGAATTAGATTATAATGGGGTAGACAGATCAGACAGGGGTCAGTACTTATTGGTGGGTGGAATGGGGAAAGATGGGGGAAGGCTATGGCAGATGATAAGAAGGTTCCCATGTTAAAATTAACCAGTGGAATTGGTACCATTTGTATGAAAATAAAAAAATATGCAAAATACGTGTGAACAAGGTGTCAATCGCTTAAAGTGTTTGTTCACCAATGCCAGAAGTCTGCCAAGCAAAATAGGCGAGTTGGAAGCTTTGTTGCATGAAGAGAGCTATGATTTAATTGGTATTGCTGAATCTTGGCTTCATTCTTCGCATGACTGGGCCATTAATATTCCTGGCTATCTTCTCTTTCGGAGAGACAAAGGTGGTGGTGTATGTCTCTATGTGAGAAATGATCTCACAGCAAGTGTGAAAGAGGACCTAGTTGATGGAGAGTGTTATGAGGCTGAAGTATTATGGGTGGAGCTGCACATGGGGGTGCGTACTACAAAGGTAATCACTGGAGTATGTTATAAGCCTCCCAGTGTTAATGAGGAGGTGGAAACTCAGCTCCTTGCACAGATCGAAAGGGCTGGGACAGTGATAATAATGGGGGATTTTAACTACCCGGAAATTGACTGGAGTAATGGTACTGCAGGAACAGTTAAAGGGCAAAACTTTTAAACCTTCTACAATTTTATGGTACAGTTCATAGAAGCCCCTACTAGGAATGATGCTCTGCTGGACCTGGTAATCTCAAACCATGCAGAGCTTATTACGAATGTCCATATAAAAGAACATCTGGGTAGCAGTGACCATAACATGATTTCATTTATTGTTAGCTGTAAACAGCAAGCACATACGGGAAAAATAAAAGCGCTTAATTTCAAGAGAGCTAATTTTCCAAGGCTGAGAGCTGCTCTCCAAGACTTAGACTGGGAGGGAATATTGGCATTGATGAACACAACCCAGAAATGGGAGTTCTTCAAAAAGACTATGTGAACACACTGCAAAATATATTCCCATGGGCAACAAGTTTAAAAGGCTAAAAATCAAACCTATGTGGTTTACGGCCAAAGTTAAAAAGGCTATAGATAATAAGAAAAGAGCTTTTATTCAATATAAAAATGAAGGAACACGATCATCGTTTAAACATTACAAAGAATATAACAGAATATGCAAAAGGGAAATAAAGGCTGCTAAAATTGAAAACGAACGACAGATTGCAAAAGATAGCAGGACCAACTCCAAGAAATTCTTCAAATATATTAATGTTATAAAGGTTCGGTCCAAGCATGTAGGCCCTTTACAAAATAATCTAGAGTGGGTGATTGGGGACAACGAGAAGGCAAATTTATTTAATACCTTCTTCAGCTCTGTGTATACAAAGGAGCATGGGGCTCCAGATGATCTACATTGGCTCACAATTGATATGATCCAAAAATATTTAGACAGAATAAAAGGGAATAAAGCACCTGGACCGGATGGCATACACCCACGGGTCCTTAAAGAATTGAGCTCTGTCATTTCAAAGCCATTGTTTCTAATTTTTAGGGACTCTTTAATGACTGGCATAGTACCACTGGATTGGCGTAAGGCCAATGTTTAAAAAGGGGTCAAAATCTTTGCCAAGTAATTACAGACCTGTTAGTTTAACTTCTATAGTTGGGAAGATACTGGAGAGTTTAATAAAAGACCACATAGATGAGTTCTTGCTGGAAAAAAATATTTTAAGCAACAGACAGCATGGATTAATGAAAGACAGAAGTTGTCAAAGAAATCTGATTTCATTTTATCACGGGGTGAGCAAAACCTTGGACAGAGGGGTGGTGGTGGACGTGGTATACTTGGATTTAGCAAAAGAGTTTGACACAGTTCCTCACGCACGGCTAATATGTAAGGTAAAGTCTACAGGTTGGGAAAAATCAGAAAACTGGCTAAAAGATCGTATTCAGAGAGTAGTGGTTAATGATTCATACTCTGAATGGTCTGGGGTCATCAGTGGTGTACCCCAAGGTTCAGTGTTGGGACCCTTTCTTTTTAATATATTTATAAACAATATAGGGTCTGGGATTAAAAATCCCATTTCAGTCTTTGCAGATGACACCAAGCTGTGCAGTGGAATAACGTCCTTACAGGATGTCTTCAACTTACAAGCCAACCTCAATGCACTGTTTAATTGGGCAACTATGTGGCAAATGAGGTTTAATGTTGATAAATGTAAGGTTATGCACTTGGGAGCTAAGAATATGCATGCATCATACATACTAGGGGGGGTACAACTGGGGGAATCAATGGTGGAGAAGGATCTGGGAGTCCTGGTAGATCACAAGCTTAATAATGGCATGCAATGCCAAGCTGCGGTTTTCTAAAGCGAGCAAAATCCTCTCTTGTATTAAAAGAGGTATAGACTCCAGAGAGAGAGATATCATATTACCCCTGTACAAATCATTAGTAAAACCTCATCTGGAATATGCAGTTCAGTTTTGGGCACCAATTCACAAAAAGAACATTGGGGAACTAGAGAAAGTACAGAGAAGGGCAACTACACTGATATGAGGCATGGAGGAGATCAGCTATGAGGAAAGATTAGAGGAACTGAATTTATTCTCTCTTGAGAAGAGGAGATTAAGGGGGGATATGATCAACATGTATAAATACATCAGTGGTTCATATAGTGAACTCTGTGTAGAACTAGTTACCCTGAGGTCAACACAGAGGACAAGGGGGCACTCTTTACGTCTGGAGGAAAAGAAATTTAATCTCCAAGCACGGAAAGGTTTCTTCACAGTGAGAGCTGTGAAAATGTGGAATAGACTCCCTCAAGAGTTGGTTCTGGCCAGTTCAGTGGATTGCTTCAAAAAAGGCCTGGATTCTTTCTTGGATACACAGAATATAACTGGATATTAACATTTATAGGTAAAGTTGATCCAGGGAATATCCGATTCCCTCTCGGGGGATCAGGGAGGAATTTTTTTCCCAGCAGGTGCAAATTGGATACTGCTTTGCTGGGTTTTATTTTGCCTTCCTCTGGATCAACTGTGGGTATAGGATTATAACTTTTTTTCTTTTCTATGGCTGAACTGGATGGACTTTTGTCTTTTTTCAGCCAGACTAATTATATAACTATGTCCTTAGTACAGTGTACTAAGTCTATAGCTGGTTAAATTCCAGTACATGTATACCATAGTTTGTAGATGCTATAACACAAACCAAATTTATATACACTTTTTTTTTATCATACCAAAGACATGTAGCAGAATACATTTTGCCCTACATTTATGAAGAAATTTAGATTTTTTTTTTTTTACTTGAAGTTGTTTTATAACAGAAAGTAGAAAATATATTTATTTTTTTCAAAATGTTTGATCTTTTTTAGTTATAAAAAGTAAAAAAAAAAAAACAGCGGTGATCAAATAACACCAGAAGAAAGCTGTTTGAAAAGATATAAATTTCATTTGGCTACAGTGCTACATGATCGAGCAATTGCCAGTTAAAGTAGCACAGTGCTAAACAGCAAAAAAAAAAATGGCCTGGTCATGAAGGGGGTAAAATCTTCCAGAGGTCAAGTGGTTAAAAAAAAAATGCCACACACCAGTGCAGATTATTCAAAGTATATAAGAAGAGAACCTTCCTTGAAAACCAGATATCAAAACAGTAGATACAACTATAGGCATCCAAAGGTATTATTGACAAAAATAAAATAAAAGGATTCCTTGCATCAATCATTTTCTTTAATTTAATATATAGTTACTTTGCTAGTTGCAGACAAAGTTGGATCCCTTTACTGGAGGGACTATAATTCGTGTGTGCTTCCCTTTACTACCCAGATCTGCTTCCAGACCTCCTCAAGTTTAAATTTACACAGGGCTATCAATGGTTTACTGCCCCATGTGGCAGCACTGACACCTAGTGATTGATTGAGTTGTGGGTAGAGAGGAGTGTTCAGATGTGCCCCTATATCTGAAAGTATTGGTTATTTCTAAGGTAGTGTGATGGCAGAAAGGAGAAGCGTGAGGAAGGTAGAAAGAGAATTAAAGTGGAGCTCCACCCAAAACTGGAAGTTCTGCTTTAATGCAATGTCCCCTGCTCCCCGTTAAGGATTGGCACTTTTGGGGGGGGAAAGCAGGTACCGGAATTTAACAGGTGCCCGTTCCCCCTTCCTCTGCGATGCGGAAGTTGTCCAATCTCCCCCCCCCCCCCCCCGTATTCTTTTGGGACATGTGACAGGTCCCAGAAGACTACGGAACCATTCACAAATCAGCGCTACTCGCACATGCGCAGTGGGCACCTGGCTGTTCAGCTGCAAGCTGTTGCGGCCGGGTGCCCACACTAAAGATGCCGGCGCCAGGGAGAGAAGACGGCCGGTGAAACCAGCCATGGTGAGTACACAGCTGGATAGTGGGACAGGTAAGTGTTTTGTAGCTGCTGACTTTTTTTTAATTAGCTGGAACTCTGCTTTAAGCTCATTAAAAAAAAGAAGAAAAATTACTGGTATTTCATGTAAATTGAGCCTCGTTTTTTGCAAAGTATTGTCAAAAGTACAGGTTTATTTTAAAAACATGTTTTTAAAGTAGCAATTTTGGTTTTGTTTAAAAAAAAATATGTTGTCATTCATTGGTTTTTCTGTTGGATTGTAAAAAGAATATTCAAAGTTTTGGATTTATTGAATATCTAACTGAAGTAAATTGTGTTTTCTTTGTCTCCGTGGAGTTTTAAAGTTGTTTACATCATTCTGTGATGCTGGTTTGTCTGTCATTTCCTGACAAAGAACCTGTTCTTTTTGTTTGTTCTGCTTTTTAACTACCAGTGATGACTGCACATAATTGTGTGAGTTTTGTCCTCAGCACTACTATAAACAGTAAAACTGACCACACACTATTAAGCAGGACATAGATGATCGATTTTTTTTTTTCCTTCCTCCATGGGTGAAAGAAAAACGCTTGATTCTTCCAACACAGTCAGTGTTGATAGGTAAATCCTTAGCTCAGCGCTACCGTGTTCTTTCAAAGGGATCATTGGATTTACATGGGTTAAAACCAGCCTGCCCGTAGATCCATAGATGGATTGAATCTCGGCCGGTTCATCAGGAACTCAATCCATCTATGTGGCTAGCTCTAGACTTTTTATTGTTCAGCCGACAGGTTGAATGAGCAAAATCTAGTGGATTCTTCCATCTATTTTATATTGCATGGGAGGATGAATCTCCTGCTGCAACTATCTAATTGGATGCAGCCGCTGTTTTTTCAAAATATTTCCAGACAGCTTCTTTGACTTTTTTAATCTAAGGTTGTTGGGTGGGAGGGCAGTGAAAGAACCATCCACAGAGTGAGTTTTGGCTGTTTCATTAACCTCCCTGGTGGTATTCACGAGTGTAGCTCGGGGTAAGGTTTCAGCACCACAAGCGGTAACCCCGAGCTACACTCGGGAATACCCTGCAGCGTTGCTCCGGAATCTCTTCTTCACTTACCTTGTCCTTCGCTCCCGCAATGTCCCTCCTGCAGTGTGCCCTGCAATGTCCTCCGGCCGATGCCGGCATCTGTCTTCCGGGTTCCGTTCCCTGCAATGTCAGGACGTACGGGGACGGAACGGTGGGAAATTTAAAAATGTCAAAAAGTGACATTCACTAAATACACTAAAATCACATAGTAAAACATTACTGTACCAAACCATTTCACACACATTTTGTCCCGAGTGCTTTGTCCTGGGCCCTACCTGCATTTTTACTGTTCTTTCTGCCTGGAAACTGAGAAATGTCCATGGCATCCAAAAAGCATCCCTTTAGATCAAAAGCGGTTTTAGACCAGCTAGAGAACGATAGTAAATAAGAACCACTTGCAGAATTGAGTGATAATGATTTGTGGGGAAATTCGTCATCAGACACGGAAAACGATTTTGCGTCTTTGCTCAGTGATATGCGAATTTGGCGCTATATTTCAAATTTCATTGTTTTTGGTTTGATTATATTATTGAATTAAATGTATTATTATAATATTTTTTATGATTATTTAATAAATTATAATCTATGATTTCGTGTTTCAAATTTAAACATACCCGGGATGTTTACTAGACTCTTGTTCGGACAGATTTCAGTGAGTTATTCCTAAAAATTACAGGCCTACAATAAAAAAAAACTACATATTTCCATACAAAAAAATGTACCACTTTGAGCACAGAAATATGGACATAATCAGACCGCTAGGGAGGTTACGGAACTGTAAGAATCTTGCATAGTGAATACCAAGCATAAACTTCATGTTACACACAGTTTTTGGAACCTTTCAAATATGATGATAAAGTAAATTACTAATATTTTGTCTTTCAGGTGCCGGGGAATCTGGTAAAAGCACAATTGTGAAGCAGATGAAGTAAGTTTAGGGTATGCTATTGAGTGCCTGTATGACATGGATTACTAGTTTATATGCTTTGGTCCATAAAAGCTTCCTCATCTGCAGCCTCAGTAGCTCTGCTGCCCAGACTTGAACCTGTGCTGTGTTTCAAGCCAATTATATGCACTTCTGATTTTGTGTCCGTTTGTGCACGGTTAATTATTTATTATAGGTACTACAATCTAAGGTCCCTAACTCACATTCATACATACACATACTAGGGCCAATTTAGACAGGATCCAATTAACCTACTAGCATGTCTTTGGAGTACCTGGAGGAAACCCACGCAGGCACAGGGAGAACATACAAACTCCAGGCAGGTAGTGCTGTGGCTGGGACTTGAACTGTGGACCCTAGTACTGCCAGGTGGAAGTGCTAACTATTTAGCCACTGTGCTGCCCCTTGGAACTATCTGCTGCTTCATTCAGTATGCTCCTTGGTGCCCTCTATGGCAGAACCAAGTTCTGACCCTACGGGGCTTTTATGTCCCAGAGTTTTCCCTATTATTATCTCTGATTCACAGTCTTCACAGCTGCCTCCTGTAGGGTTTGTAATTGATCAGGTTCCCGATGACTCAGATATATAAACATATATTGTTTTCAGTCTGATTGACTTTGTACATGCTATGCTATTCATCTATTAAATTAACCTGCTGTACTGGGTATAGAGTCTTTTAGAGTTCATGCTTCTGAAAATATCTTCCCTATATCCTCTATATTTGGGAAGTTTCCATGGAAACTGGGAATTTCCAATGAAATGATGGCCTCCTCCTGATAATTCAGTTGATGGAATTCCTTGACAAATAGTCTCTACTTCGTGTGCCCCTTCCAGCTTTTCACCTTAACGTGCATCTCCCCATACTGGTTGATGTACCTTTTACATTTAAAAGAAAAGTGTTGGAAACTTTTTTTTTTTTCTTTTTAAATCATACTTATGTAGGTGAATGCAGCATCGGTCTGATAGCGCATATTTCTCCTGCCATCTCCAAAGGTGAGAACTCAGCAATCACATGACCGCTGCGTTCTCACCGCCACTGTGAGCAGATAACATAACTGCTAGTCATCACTGACTGAAATATTCGAATAGGAAAAAATGTGCATGATCAGAAGCAAATAATGACCCAGAAGAAGGTGGCAGTAAACATAGAGATTGCACACAAGAAAGAATGTTTGCCTTTGTCATTCGAGAATTTTTTGTACAAGTCATTACAATTGTTGTTTACATCATGGTATGCACCTTCGTGGAAAATTGGACAATCATTCGTCCAATTTTCCCATAGTGTGTACCCCACGTACGACTTTACCCCTACTATAACTAGGGTTTTCTCGTTTGCTGTCTCTATTGGTCCCCAATGACACCCCTCTTTACAGTTTAGGCTTCTCTCTATTGCTATCACTCTGGGCATTTTACTCAGTTAACCATTTTTTTTTCTGTCTCACATTTTGGGTTTCTGTACCTTTAAAGAGTTGCTAAGCCCACAACAGTAAAATAAATCTGTATATGCAGTAAAACATACTTGTTATACTCGCTGTGGAACCTAAGGGGTTAATCCTCTGCATTGTGTAAAAACACTGTTTGATCCTGACTTCTCTGATCCTCCCCTTCTTCCAGTGTCTCCCTCTTATCTTTTGATAAGACATATTGTGTGGAGATACTGCACATGCTCAGTTTGGTGTGTATTGCTAGAGTGTTGTTTTTTTGTTTTGTTTTTTCTTGGGAGAGTGCATGTGATCAGCACAGGGCCAATTGGCATTGCCCAGACAGAGGTCAGGGGTTCTGCATTCTTCTAAAGAAAACACACGCTTTAGCCAGTGCTCTGCTGAACAGTTAAGTCCCAAGACTGCTTTAACTGCTGATGAGAAAAGGTATTTAGCAGTTTAGATTTACTAAAATAATTGCATTTCCATGCAGTGTGTGCTGTGGGAGACCAGATAGATTTAATGCAGGGTCCTGGGTTTAGTAACAATATGTTCAGAAATATCCTATAAATGCATATAACCACAAGTATGTAATGGAGTGTGGAAATGCAACCTTCGCAGCCAGCTTATGTAGCACAAACAGTCCGTGGTACTCACACAGGGTTTTCCAGGTTTCAGCAAATAATTACTGCTATCGTTGTTAGATTGGTATTGTGATGTGTAGGGCAGTACTTATGTCTGTATTTATCTGTATAAGATGAAAAAAGTTACTCGTGTAATGCTTATGTTTTTAGGATTATCCACGAAGATGGTTACTCAGAGGAAGAATGCAGGCAATACAAAGTGGTTGTTTACAGTAACACCATTCAATCCATAATAGCCATAGTGCGAGCCATGGGGAGGTTGAAGATTGATTTTGGAGATGTTGCTAGAATTGTGAGAGTCAAGTTTTTATCATGTATTTTTTCCTTCTCTGTCATTGTTGCGTTACATAAAGCACAAGCCGTTATTTTTTATTTTGCTTATTTTTCAGGATGATGCACGGCAGCTGTTTGTTTTGGCCAGTACAGCAGAAGAAGGTGTTCTGTCTCCAGAACTTGCTGGTGTTATTAAGAGATTGTGGAAGGATTCGGGCGTACAGGCATGTTTCAATCGATCTCGGGAGTACCAGCTTAATGACTCTGCCTCATAGTAAGTCAGCGGTGGGAAGTGCTTAATTCATATTGGGTGCCAGGTTCTCATGGTGAATGTTTTTTTGCCATTTTTGTCCCATTGGGGAGATTTTCTTTCACTCCTTGACCCATAGCAAAACCAGTAAGTGAAAAGAAATCCCTCCAAAGTGAGGGAATCCCTGCTTGTCACCAACATTTCCCATCTGTTCTGGTGACAACCCAAAATTTGGCATTTTCTTTCACTTTCACTCTCGGTGAAAATGTAAATAGGATAAATAAAGAGGGTGATTCTCCCCAACAGGGGCACAGACAGCAATACATAAACTTGACAGGTGTGTGATCTAATCGCTCTCTATCTTCAAAAAAAAAAGTTTTGCCTTTAGTTTTACACTAACCCCTTTATGACCTTTCAACACATACTGTGTGTATATATGTGTGTATATATGTGTATATATGTATATATATATATATATATATATATATATATGCACACACACACACTGTATATTGTAACACTTTGAGGCTCTGCCACTGTGGAAATGCAGGAGAAATTGGCACAGGATTCGCATTAAGGCTTAGTGCACAGTTCCAGTCTATCATTTCTGAGAAAGCTACATTTTTGGCTGATTCTGTAATCCCTAGATTGCAGCCTGGAGCTTGAAGTTTCCAAAATGTCTTGGGTGGGATGGAACTGTGAATCTTGCGTCCGAATTTTACTGGATTCTTGAAGCCTGTGTGAATACACAGGTCCGAGGTGCCCTATCCAGGAGTCAAGAGAAAGGAGGTTTCAACCAGGGGTCAGAGGTGCTGCAGACAGAAGGTCTCCTCCCAGGTCAGGTGGGCTCTTGCTGGACTGTTAGGAGAACCCCTACCTAGAGCCCAGGAGTGGGCAATGCAGCAGGGCGCTGTGGCTAAAGGCTCAGTAAGCTTAGGGAACCAGGAGAGCTGGACAATACAGTCAGTACAGTCAGGGATTGGTAAGAAATACAGCGATGCACATAAGGAGAGCCAGGTGGCTTGTCATTTTCAGTTGACTATTCATGTTGATGTGAAAGAACCCCTGCATGGGCAACTGAAGTCTGTGAACTTTCCATTTTGTTTAATAAAATTGGGCCAGCAAGCCCTAAAACAGAACTTCTGAAGTAGAGGGAATTTTCTAGAAAGCACCTCTCACAATACCACAATAAATAGACTGTGTGTGTGTGTATGTATATGAATTAAAGTGTTTGTTCACCAATGCCAGAAGTCTGCCAAGCAAAATAGGTGAGTTGGAAGCTTTGGTGCATGAATAGAACTATGATTTAATTGGTATTGCTAAATCTTGGATTCATTCTTCACATGACTGGGCCATTAATATTCCTGGCTATGTTCTCTTTCGGAGAGACAGGGTAAAAAGGAAAGGTGGTGGTGTCTCTCTATGTGAGAAGTGATCTCAGAGCGAGTGTGAAAGAGGACCTAGTTGATGGAGAGTGTGATGAGGCTGAAGCATTATGGGTGGAACTGCACATGGGGGTGCGTTCTACAAAGGTAATCATTGGAGTTTGTTATAGGCCTCCCAGTGTTAATTAGGAGGTGGAGACTCAGCTCCTTGCACAGATCAAAAGGGCTGCAAGAGCTGGGACAGTGATAATAATGGGGGATTTTAACTACCCGAAAACTGACTGGAGTAAAGGTACTGCAGGAACAGTTAAAGGGCAAACATTTATAAACCTACTACAGGACAATTTCATGGTACATTTCATGGTGCATTCCAACTAGGAATGATGCTCTGCTGGACCTAGTAATCTCAAACCATGCAGAGCTTACTACTAATGTCCATATAAAAGAACATCTGGGTAGCAGTGACCCTAACATGATTTCATTTATTGTTAGCTGAAAACAGCGAGCACATACGGGAAAAATAAAAACACTGAATTTCAAAAGAGGTAAAAGACCTGTTAAAATGTCAGATTTCAGTGATGTAAAAAAATGAGACAAAGATAAAAAATAATTTCAGAGCTTTTTCCACCTTTAATGGGACCTATAAACTGTACTCAATTGAAAGACTGAAATCTTTTAGGGGGGGAGTAAACATACAAAACTAAAATAATGTGGTTGCATAAGTGTGCACGTCCTCTTACAATTGGGGATGTAGCTGTGTTCAGAGTTAAGCAATCACATTCAAAATCATGTTAAATAGGAGTCAGTACACACCTGCCATCATTTATAGTGCCTCTGATTAACCCCAAATAAAGTTCAGCTGTTCTAGTAGGTCTTTCCTGACATTTTCTTAGTTGCATCCTACAGCAAAAGCCATGGTTTGCAGAGAGCTTCCAAAGCATCAGGGATCTCATTGTTAAATGGTATCAGTCAGGAGAGGGGTACAAAAGAATTTCCAAGGCATTAGATATACCATGGAACACAGTGAAGACAGTCCTCATCAAGTGGAGAAAATATGGCGCAACAGTGACATTACCAAGAACTGGACGTCCCTCCAAAATTGATAAAAAGACGAGAAGAAAACTGGTCTGGGAGGCTGCCAACTGGCCTACAGCAACATTAAAGGAGCTGCAGGAATATCTGCCAAGTACTGGTTGTGTGGTACATGTGACAACAATCTCCCGTATTCTTCTTATGTCTGGGCTATAGGATAGAGTGGCAAGACAGATCCTTTTCTTACGAAGAAAAGCTTCCAAGCCCAGTTAAATTTTGCAAAAACACATCTGAAGTCTCTCAAAAGCATGTGGGAAAATGTGTTATGGTCTGATGAAACCAAGGTTGAACTTTTTGGCCATAATTCCAAAAGATATGTTTGGCGCAAAAACAACACTGCACATCACCAAAAGAACACCATACCCACAGTGAAGCATGGTGGTGGCAGCATCATGCTTTGGGGCTGTTTTTCTTCAGCTGGAATTGGGCCCTTAGTCAAGGTTGAGAGAATTATGAACAGTTCCAAATACCAGTCAATATTGGCACAAAACCTTCAGGCTTCTGCTGGAAAGCTGGATATGAAGAGGAACTTCATCTTTCAGCATGACAACGACCCAAAGCATACATCCAAATCAACAAAGGAATGGCTTCACCAGAAGAAGATTAGCGTTTTGGAATGGCCCAGCCAGAGCCCAGACCTGGATCCGATCAAAAATCTGTGGAGTGATCTGAAGAGGGCTGTGTACAGGAGATGCCCGGAGTTCGCCGGGTGCACGCCCCCGGGAGTGCACGGGAGGCCACCCAGAACTGGAAACCGCACTGTAGCCGTCATCCGGCTATAGCGCGGTTGGCAAGTGGTTAAAAGGCTAAAAATCAAACCTATGTGGCTTATGGCCAAAGTAAAAAAAAAAAAAAAAAGTTATAAATAATAAGAAAAGAGCTTTTATTAAATATAAAAATTAAGGAACACGATCATCGTTTAAACATTACAAAGAATATAACAGAATATGCAAAAGGGAAATAAAGGCCGCAAAAATTAAAAATGAACAACAGGTTGCAAAAGATAGCAGGACAAACCCCCCCAAAAATTTTTCAAATATATTAATAGTAAAAAGGTTTGGTCCGATTCCATGGGCAACAAGTTTAAAAAGCTAAAAATCAAACCTATGTGGTTTTACGGCCAAAGTTAAAAAGGCTATAGATAATAAGAAAAGAGCTTTTATTCAATATAAAAATGAAGGAACACGATCATCGTTTAAACATTACAAAGAATATAACAGAATATGCAAAAGGGAAATAAAGGCTGCTAAAATTGAAAACGAACGACAGATTGCAAAAGATAGCAGGACCAACTCCAAGAAATTCTTCAAATATATTAATGTTATAAAGGTTTGGTCCGAGCATGTAGGCCCTTTACAAAATAATCTACAGTAGGTGACTGGGGACAAAGAGAAGGCAAATTTATTAAATACCTTCTTCACCTCTATGTATACAAAGGAGCATGGGGGAGCTCTTGTCCATAATGGGCATGGTATTGACACAGCTCCAGATGATCCACATTGGCTCAAAATTAATATGATCCAAAAATATTTAGACAGAATAAAGGTGAATAAAGCACCTGGACCGGATGGCATACACCCACGGGTCCTTAAAGAATTGAGCTCTGTCATTTCAAAGTCATTGTTTCTAATTTTTAGGGACTCTTTAATGACTGGCATAGTACCACTGGATTGGCATAAAGCGAATGTGGTGCCTATATTTAAAAAGGGATCAAAATCTTTACCAAGTAATTATAGACCTGTTAGTTTAACTTCTATAGTTGGGAAGATACTGGAGAGTTTAATAAAAGACCACATAGTTATTGCTGTAAAAAAATATTCTAAGCAACAGACAGCATGGATTAATGAAAGACAGAAGTTGTCAAACAAATATTTTCTTTTTATAAGGAGGTGAGCAAAACCTTGGACAGAGGGGTGGCGGTGAACGTGGTATACTTGGATTTTGCAAAAGCGTTTGACACAGTTCCACACACAGCTAATGTGTAAGGTAAAGTCTACGGGCTTGGAAAAATCTGTATGTAAATGGTTAGAAAACTGGCTAAAAGATCATATTCAGAGAGTAGTGGTTAATGATTCATACTCTGAATGGTCTAGGGTCATCAGTGGTGTACTTCATGGTCCAGTGTTGGGACCCTTACTTTTTAATATATTTATAAACTATATAGGGTCTGGGATTAAAAATACCATTTCAGTCTTTGCAGATGACACCAAGCTGTGCAGTGGAATAACGTCTTTACAGGATGTCTCCAACTTGCCGACCTCAATGCACTGTTTAATTGGGCAACTATGTGGCAAATGAGGTTTAATGTTGATAAATGTAAGGTTATGCACTTGGGGGCTAAGAATATGCATGCATCATACATACTAGCGGGGGGTCCAACTGGGGGAATCAATAGTGGAGAAGGATCTGGGAGTTCTGGTAGATCACAAGCTTAATAATGGCATGCAATGCCAAGCTGCGGTTTCTAAAGCGTGCAAAATCCTCTCTTGTATTAAGAGGTATAGACTCCAGAGAGAGATATCATATTACTCCTGTACAAATCATTAGTAAGACCTCATCTGGAATATGCAGTTCAATTTTGGGTACCAATTCACAAAAAGAACATTGGGGAACTTGAGAAATGTACAGAGAAGGCCAACTAAACTGATAAGAGGCATGGAGGAGCTCAGCTATGAGGAAAGATTAGAGGATCTGAATTCATTCTCTCTTGAGAAGAGATTAAAGGGGAGATGATCAACATGTATAAATACATCAGTGGTTTATATAGTGAACTCTGTGTAGTTATTAATCTTGAGGTCATCACAGAGGACAAGGGGGCACTCTTTACGTCTGGAGGAAAAGATATTTAATCTCCAAACATGGAAAGGTTTCTTCACAGTAAGAGCTGTGAAAATGTGGAATAGACTTCCTCAAAAGTTGGTTCTGGCCAGTTTAGTGGATTGCTTTAAAAAAGGCCTGGATTATTTCTTGGATACACAGAATACAACTGGTTACTAACATTTATAGGTAATAGCTGATCCAGGGAATATACAATTGCCTCTCGGGGGATCAGGAAGGATTTTTTTCCCCGGCAGGAGCAAATTGGAATATGGTTTGCTGGGCTTTTTGCCTTCTGGATCAACTCTGGGTGTAGGATTTTAAATATATATATATATATATATATATATATATATATATATATATATATATATATATATATATATATATTCCCTCCCAAAATTAATTCTCAGGTTACAACAGTGAGTGTAGGATTATAACTATTATATATATTCCCTCCCAAAATTAATCCTCAGGTTACAATAGTGATGTTGGCTGACATGGATTACATTTGCTTTTCGTGCTCAAACATCAAATGCTCATGTAAGTGAAAGCAATGTCATTCGAATTTCTAGCAATCGCAAACCTGTGCCAACTCGTCAGCCCAGCTTAATCTTATCATAATGTTGCGCTAACAATTTATGCAGACCATTTTTCCCCCTAAGTGCATTGCAGTGTTACATCGAAAGAGGAATAAAGTAAATCACATATTCTCACTTTAACCAGTTGCTGACCTCAGATAGCTGAATGAATGATTGCGGCCGGCCAGTTCTGGGAGGGCGTAATATGATGTCCTCCCAGAACGCGCTCTCCTGCGCTTCCCCGGCAATCTCCGTGATAGCTGTGTCCTACGGACACAGCTGATCACGTGATGGGGTAAAAGGCCAATCACGGCGGCCTTTTACCACGTGATCAGCCGTGTCCAGTGACACACTGATCACAGGGAAATGCAATTGCCGGTTCTCGGCTACACTTTCCTCTAGCTGTCAGAGCGTGAGGAAAGTACTGCCGAGAATCGGCAGTTGTCAGAGCAGGGATCGGCACCGATCATCAGGGCACTGATGATCGGTGCCCAACAGTGCCACTCACCAGCTCTGCCCACCTGTGCCCAGCAGTGCCGCCCACCTGTGCCCACCAGTTCCACCAGTCAGTGCCCAGCAGTTGTGCCAGTCAGTGTTGACTATCAGTACCCATCATCAGTGCCGCCTATCCATGTCACCTCATTATTGCTGCCCATCAGTGCTGCCTCATCAACGCACATCAGTGAAGGAGAAAAATTACCTGTTTGCAAAATTTTATAATAGAAACAAAGAAACATTTTTTTTTTTCCCCAAATTTTTTGCACTTTTTTATAGCGCAAAAAGTAAAACACCCAGCGATCATTAAATACCACCAAAAGAAAGCTCTATTTGTGAGAAAAAATGATAAAACTTTCATATGGGTATAATCTTGCATGACCGCGCAATTGTCATTCAAAGTGCGACAGCGCTGAAAGCTGAAAATTGGCCTGGTAAGGAAGGGGGTATAAGTGCCCGGTAGGCAAGTGGTTAAACTTCATTCCACCTCACTGATAATAACCTCCTTGACCCCCTACAGTCTGGCTTCCGCCCCCTGCACTCCACTGAAACCGCCCTACTTAAAATCACCAATGACCTGCTAACCGCCAAAGCAAATGGCCACTATATTCTATCCTCCTGCTCCTCGACCTCTCCGCGGCCTTCGACACTGTTGACCACCCTCTCCTCCTTGCCAAACTGCACTCCCTTGGCATCAAGGATGCTGCTCTCTCCTGGTTCGCCTCCTCCCTTTCCCAACGCTCTTTCAGCGTTACCTACAACACTGCCACCTCCCCTTCCCTCCCCCTCTCTGTCGGGGTCCCCCAAGGCTCTGTCCTCGGGCCCCTCCTCTTCTCCATCTATACCTCCTCCCTTGGCAAACTTATTCACTCCCATGGCTTCAATTGCCACCTCTATGCCGACGACACCCAAATTTACCTCTCCCCCACCTCACCCCCTCACTCTCTGCCCACATCGCCCACTTCCTAAACGACATATCAGACTGGATGTCGCTCCATTTCCTCAAACTTAACCTATCCAAAACCGAGCTCCTGGTCTTCCCCCCACCCCGTGCCCCCCCCCCATCCTCTTCATCACTACTAACAATGCCACCATCTCTCCCACCCCACATGTCACCCTGGACTCCCACCTCTCCTTCCTACCCCACATCCAACTGCTATCTAGATCTTGCAGGCTCCACCTCCCCAACATCTCCAAGATACGCACATTCCTCACCCCAGACACCACCAAACAACACATACACTCCCTCATCATCTCACGCCTGGACTATTGCAATTCCCTTCTCACTGTCCTACCCAAACGAACGCTATCCCCACTCCAGTCGATCCTAAACTCAGCGGCTAGACTCATCCACCTCACCAAGCGCTCCACATCTGCCTCCCCCCTCTGCCAATCCCTTCATTGGCTCCCGATTGCCCAACGCATCAAATTCAAACTGCTAACTCTGACCTACAAAGCCATTCACAATGCCGCCCCGAACTACATAACTGACCTGATACCCAAGTACTACCCTAGCCATGCCCTCCGCTCCTCACAGGACTTCCTACTCTCTAGCTCCCTGGTCTCCTCCTGCCACGCCCCATTACAGGACTTTGCCAGGACTTCCCCCCATCCTCTGGAACTCCCTACCCCAATCCATCAGACTGTCACCTACCCTCCTCACCTTCAGGCGCACCCTGAAAACCCTCCTCTTCAGGGAAGCCTACCCCAACCTCCCCTAACACCTGACCTCTAACCACTAACCTCCTCCACTCCTCCCACCACCCCATCCCCCACAGCCATCTCCTCCTGTACCACCTTCCCCTCTCTCCTAGATTGTAAGCTCGAAAGAGCAGGGCCCTTGAACCCCTCGTGTAGTGTATTGTTACTGTCTTGTCTCATGTTCTGTCCCCCTTGCTACTGTACAGCGCTGAGCATACCCTTTGGCGCTATATAAATACTGTATAATAATAATAATAATAATCTGTACATAAGTCTCACTAATGTAATATTGTAATCGGTGTACTTTTTAAATTCTATTTTATGGTAAATAAATAGGGGTGCACAAATTATGTAAACGTTGCATTTGAAAAAACTAAGAATTTCTCCGTTATACAGAAAATGAAGTTCAGTATTGGTAATGGTCCGGCCCACTTAGCTATTTTTTAATGTAACCCTTTATTTATGCTTTCTTTTTAAAGCTATCTAAATGATCTGGACAGAATCTCGGAGCCCAGCTATGTTCCTACTCAGCAAGATGTGCTGCGGACAAGGGTCAAAACAACGGGTATTGTGGAGACACATTTCACTTTCAAAGACCTTTACTTCAAGTAAGTCACTGTTTGTATTTTCTGAAGGGATATGTAGTTGATCCCTAATGCTATTTATTCTTTTAAGGTCATTTATTTGTTTTTAACCACTTTTAAGACCAGCTAATGTACATGCAGCTACAGGCATCATCCCGATATTGTTTTCCTTTAGCCAGCGTGCTGTTTTATCTAAAAGCAATCCTAGCGGCCAATTAGATTCTGGATTTCTTTTACAGGTGGTGGAAAGCTCTGCCCTCTACTGCCTCTCCAGGCTTTCTGTCCCACCAGGGAGCCTGGGACTGAACCGGATCTTCCCCAATCAATCATTTCTATGGTATGAGAAACCAGAGGCAACTTCTGGCTTCCCTAGCATGTAACTAAGCAATTTTTTGCTTGCAATAAGCATCTGATCAAGTAGATCTTGGTTTGATCAGATTTTTAAAAAGGGTAGAGGAGAAATCTGGGGTCTAGACCTAGGACTACCACTGTGTTCACGCATAAAGACGAACGCACACGTTGGTATGTAAACAACGATCACACCACACCTGTGAGGTGTCACAGCAAGAGCAATAATTCTAGCTGCAGACTTCCTGTGTAACTCTAGTAACCTGTAAAAGGCTTTTAAAGTGTCGCCTATGGAAATTTTAAGTACCGTAGTTTGGCACCATTCCATAAGCGTGTGAAATTTTAAAGCGTGACATGTTTGCTATCTGTTAATTTGCTTAACATTTTTTATATTTTACCAAAACATTGGGTATTATTTTCAGTTTTTTTGCATTAAAATTCTTTATTCCCTGATAAAATTCATGATCTCTGATTCCCCTATATAAATCTTTAGTTAGACCTCATTTAGAATCCTATGTCCAGTTCTGGAGACCTCACTTACAAAAAGATATTGATAAGATAGAACGAGTCCAGAGATGGGTAACAAAAATGGTGAAAGGTGTGGGGGATAAAACATATCAAGAGCGACTTCAGGAACTTAACATGTACAGTCTGGAGGAAAGAAGGGAAAGGGAAGACATGATTGAAACCTTTAAATACATCGAGGGGGTGAATAACCTTCAAGAGGGCAGTATTTTCAACACAAAACCAAAATCAAGAACACGGGGTCATTACCTTAAACTAACTGGAGGAAAGGTCAAAACTAATCCCAGAAAGTACTGTTTTACTGAAAGAATAGTTGATGCTTGGAATAAACTTCCAGCAGAGGTAATGAGCCAGTCAACAGTAAATGGCTACAAACATGCTTGGGACAAACAGATCTATACTCAGACAAAAAAGAACCACCGCCTATCAAAAAGAAAAAACAAACAAACATGGAATATTCGATGGACCACTCAGTCTTTTTCTGGCGTCACTTTTCTATGTTTCCATTAATCCTTTCGCTGCCAGAGCTGTTTTTGCACACATGCTTAAAAAATTTATTTTAGGCCTAAAGATTATATAACCCCCCAAAATATTTAATTTTTTCTGAAAGCAGACACCCTAGAGAATAAAATAGCAGTAGATCAAATTTTTTATGTCACACAATATTACCGACAGTACCTTAAATTTGTGTGCACCAGTGAAATGGAGACAAACTTCAATACCCTATAACGCAACGCTTTAAAATCCCCCTATATCATTTTAATGTTAGAGGAGATCTGGTGCTAGAAACATTGCACAAATGCCCCTGACAAATGCGTTTATGCTGGCTCTCCTGACTAGTTTTTCCACAACCAGTTGTGTTGGCATCTGTCTTTATTCAGGACCACTCTTCTGGCCTTTTTGTGGATTCTTTATTCTGATGCATACTTGGCCGAATGTTGGAGGAGCCAGTTCTGGTGTGCAGCTCTGGGCTACCACATGTTGCCTCTCTCTTCTTTTCTGTGATCCACTGTCTCTGTTCCACATAACTTATTTTCAAGATGAAGGTGACATAGCTAGGCCTGCTCCTCCAGAGCAGTAGTACATTGCCACAGCCTCAGCATTGAGCTTGCAATTGAGCGCTAACTGGTGGCGTTACCATCTGCAACATTTTTATACCATTGTTTCCGAATTTTGGTAACAAGACTTATAGCAGAAAGATGATCAGTCACCATGCAGACAATGGAGAATGCTCACAGTAGACTTTTTCTGCTTGCGCATGTGCAGTCTAAAGAACAATTCACAGTATTCACAGGGCATTTCTGTTTAAATTTTTTTATTACATGTAATTTACATTTTGCAGCCATTTGCCATTCAGCTTGGAGAAGTGCCTGAGCAATATTTACAAAGTTTAGCAAGCTTTACCAGCAGCTTCTGTCAAGCCTAGTCTCTGACAGCATGCAGGAGCAAACCTTTAGCTCTAAGAATGCATTTTCCATGGTACAACTCTTCACCACCACACCCCCAGTCTTTCCCAATCAATTGATTCAGAGATTTCTACAATTAATTTAAAAGCTTTTAGCAGCTTCCTTCACCTCTCCCCTGTTCTTCTGTGCAGAAACAACAAGACTCTTTCAGCAACTAAGCTATAGAACACCTATGCGTCCCCTGCTTCTTTTCTTAGCTGGTGATGTATGTTTGTGAGCTGAGAAAAGAGCACGTGAACAGTCTTCATGGCCACATACAGAATGACAGTAAAATAGCCAAGAGGGCTCGACATTCTTCTGCTCCAAGAATCGCATGGCCAGTGAAAACAAGGAGCAGGGGATTACAGCTGCAGGGTGCACTACTGTACAAGAAAACCATAGAAATAAGGAGGTATGCAAATAACGATAACTGCAACAGAAAAAAAGGAGGGTTGAGCAGCTTGTAGATTATACAGTTTTTTTGTTTGTTTATTTTTAAATAAGCACGTTGAACAAAAAAAACTGATTTGACCCTTCTATCTACTTACTTGATATGTATGGGGAAATCCTCCCCACAGAGGTATTGTATTCTGACAGCTGGGAGACTTCTCCGCTATCAGAGTACACCTATCAGCACTGTTGGCTATAGGTCAGGTTTATAATTTCTCTCTGTTCTCATGTCATCTGCTGGTGGTCCCAGATTGAGCCATGACTCATTTTTGGAAATGAAGAAGCATGCCAGTATTGAGGAGATTAAAAAACATGGAGCTTGGTAATGGTGTGCTAGTTACATTATATGTACAGAGGGGTTAGGGGGTGAAGGGGTTAATGTACAGGTCATTTTAAATGAGAGGGAGGAAATGAAGCAGGTTAATGTTCAGATGCATGATAAGGGAGGTGAGGGGTAATACAGGTCAGATCAGGGACAGAATGGGGCTGACATATACTGTAGAGATGGGATGACAGTAGAGGGGTCTGTGACAGTGTTTTGGGTGTGGTCGTCAAACTTTATATTTTACTGTGCTGCTGCCTGCAATCAGGAACTTTCTTTTCATCTTGGACACATTCAGTAAGCTGCACTGCCTAATGGACAGTATGCTAGAGGACATGCACGAGCACCTAAAAGCAACCATTTCAAAATGGCCTTCCACCCGCTTAGCTGCACCATTCAGCTGTTTATGTACAACAGCCAGATGGCAAGTGGTTAAGAAGACCCCCTCTGCTATGTGGTTCATTTAACTGATTTTCTAACTTAAATTGTTGTTCAAACCTGCACTTTTTCTATTTAACAGTCCCCAGCTGCTGTAGATGATAGCCCCCAATATCTAAATATGTACCTTTTGATATACAGCACTCTTTATAACTGCCTCAAAATAAAAACACTGTACTTATGTGTAACCATCAATAAAGTGCTCCCACATCATACTACAGCCGTTAGGTAAGTATACGTTTCATAGCACTTAAAAGCTTAGAATATAAATAACAAATAAGTGAATAAAAACTACAGGGCATATCCCAGTTCTTATACTACATGTAATAAAACGCTTTTATAAAACGTGATTTATAAAAAGAACGTATACATAATCAGTTCAATATTTCTGTGCCAAAAAAGAAAGTCTTCTATATAGTGATTAGTGAAATCCTCCTCAATCCTTATAAACGTAAAAGCCAAGTGCCACATGTGTCCAACAACTTTGCCTTTTAATTATATGCAAAATAAATAAATAAAACTACTTGTTGGTAGTCTTTTAGTGCTTGCACCTTCTTATCCTCTGTGGTAAAGAGCTCACCAGAAATCTAGATCCCTTAAAATAAAAAGTAGGTCTAGTGTGCATGTTTAATGCCAGGAGTTATGTTCCCCTTCTTCTGGTTGCTCCCGCAGTTCACATTATTTTTATTATTATTACTTATATAGCGGTGTCAATTTACGCAGCGCTGTACATATATGTATTGTACATTCTCATTAGTCCCTAACCCTCAAGGAGCGTACAAGCTAAGGTCTCGAACTAACATTCATATATACACATACTAGGGCCAATTTAGACAGGATCCAGTTAACCTACCAGCATATCTTTAGAGTGTAGGAGGAAAGCATCTGTAAATTACACACGTATTCCTCAGGCATTATCTTGTTGGTATATTCCTCTATAATTTCCCAGCGGAAACCCCCAGTACATATTTATCAACAACATTGGGAAGGAGCTCTAGGGGTGGTGTTGGATCTAGAGGACCTGCAGGCTATGATGCAGACAATCTCTAAATGTTCAAAAATGTTTTCATTATGGAAAATGCATACCAAATTCTATACCGTTGGTATTACAATCCAACCCACTTATCACGTATTGCTCCCAATTATTTGCCTTCCGTGGTTGTGCCCAAATCGGAACGATGGCACACCATTGGTGGACTTGTCCAAGAGCGAATAGACTGTGGATCAGAGTCTATGCATTGGTTTGTACACTGCTTCATTCCAGTCCTAAGAAAAACCTGTATGAAGCTCTTCTTTACAAGCCAATTGATTCTCTCTTCCACTCAGAACTCCAAATAGTGGCACAAATCTTTCACGACTACTAAATTTACAATAGGGAGGACCTAGAAATTTCCTACCCTTAGCACTGAAGCAGTGAAACATTTAATTGTAAGGCTACTGAGACCCCTGGGACCTTTCTTCCCTTTTCTCCCTTCCACTCACTTTTACTTTTCCTTTAAGGTGTCTATATGTATTGGCAGCTTCCCCCTTTCTCTGTTTAGAGAAGCCTTCTTGATATTTGTGTGTCGATATTTTACTATTTTCTTACACCGATTTCCACAAGACCGCCTTCTGTTTATGGCTCTTTGAATTTTTTATGATTATTTTTTTTTCATGCACTTTGGCTGTATTTTGGTTGTCTCTTGAGTCATACCCACATATTTACCACGTTCATTTAATATGGCTACGTTTGTCTGGATAATGTGCATATTGTTAATAAAAACTATTTTGTACAAGATAAACTTATCACAGACTATAGAATTCACATTGGTTGGTGCCCAACCTTGCACTTGGAATAATACAGTTTATACATGTATGGCAGCTACACTCCACCATACATATATAATCTGTGTTATAGTCAAAGAAATAAGCTAATATTTTATAAAATCGTAAAATACAGTTAGTAAAGATTAGATTAACACTATAAAAGTTAAATATTTATCTTTAAATATTCACCCCATGTTTCATTATTAAAGATTTACTAATGTCTAAATCTTTCTCTGCATGGAGATTTCTTGGTAAAATAAGACTCATTCAGGACTTGCCCTGTGGCGCTAAAACCCAGCTCACCTTATGTCTTACTGACATGCATTTCTAATACAGATCAGGATCCTTCTTGATGGCCCTTTCACATGTGAGGTCAGTCTGGATCCATCTGTCAAGCAAGCTATACAAAAAATGGCAAATACCACAATTTATAACTAGCTGTTACAGTAAGGTGCACATGGAAGGGCAAACAAATAAATTCCCATCACACTTACTAGCCAGGCTGCCAAAAAAAAAAAAAATCAAAATTACACTAACAATTTGCATTACAAACTGAAGTTTTAGTGACACAACATTTGCAAATATATGTGGACATCACACTGCCTTGTCAGTGCCCCTCTGTAAAGTGCAGGCATAACCCTTAACATTTAAGAGTCCACTATATTGGAGAATATATAGCAATGGATATATTAAAAGTGTAACTAAAGGCAAAACTTTTTTCTTTAGTTTTCAATAGATTGTAGATGGAATAGAACACTTGTCAGATCCTGTTTCACTGTTAGGGAGAATTACCCTCTCTGTTTCTCCTGTTTATGTTATCGAAAGTGAAAGTAAAATAAAATCCCAAATTTTGGGTTGTCCCCAGAAAAGTAATAGAGGGGAAATCTTCCAATGGGGACCTGGAGATCCCCATAAGATTCTTCTATTTGCATGGATTTCTTCTCACTTCCTGTTCTGGCTAGATATGTGGTGACTGCATTTGTTTACTTTTTTTAGGTTTTCTTTCTTTTATTTTCACCTGGTGGTCTGGCCAGTAAGTCTGTTGTTTTTCAGCAGAACAAGTTGTCCTGCAGTTAAGCAAACCATTTAACACTGACAGATTGACTAATTTACAGTAATCCGCTTTGATTTATTCATGTAAAACCGTTATCCCAAAAGGAGAAAAAACTGTTTCTGTAACTGTTCAAAAGTGTCAGCTGGGGTTTGTTTTCAGTTTGTCAATGTATCTAAATCTGTTAGTGCAACCAACATTACCCTGCCCCCAGACTGACAATGCTGCTGTCCAAAGGTGTCTATGTTGCTCTTTCAGCCAGAGTAGAGGCACTCTGATAGAGAAAGTGTGTCACTGGCCAGAACACCAGGTGAAAACAGAAGGAAACTAATGCGGACACCACATTTAACTGCCTCCCGCCCGCCATACAGTAATATGACGGACGCAAGGTGGTTCTCTGGTTCTGGGAGGACGTCATATGATGTCCTCCCATTCTGATCGCGCATGCACGGCTCCTGGAGCGCTGTGTCCCTCAGACACAGCGGATCACTGATCCACGGAAAGAGCTGAAGATGTCAGCTCGGTCATGTGATCAGCTGTGTCCAATCACAGCTGATCAGATGTAAACAGGGAAATGCTGGTTATCGGCATTTCTCTCCCCACGAGCTGTCACACTGACAGCTCTTGAGGAGAGCCGGTATTCATTATTCCTCGGAGGGGACATGTACACAGATAATCAGGGCACTGATGATCAGTGTGCCCTGATGATCTGTGTAGCCCCAACAGTGCCACCTGTCAATGTCCATCAGTGCCAGCGCTCAGTGCTCATCCATGCCACCTGCCAGTGCCCATCAGTGCCACATTTCATTGCCCATCAGTGCCACATCAATGCCACCTATCAGTGCTGCCAATCAGTGCTGCCTATCAGTGCCCGTCAGTGCTGCCTATCAGTGCCCGTCAGTGCTGCCTATCAGTGCTGTGCCCTATCAGTGCCAGTCATCAGTGCCAGTATCAGTGCCAGTCATATATATCAGTGCTGCCTTTCAGTGCCCATCAGTGATACCTGTCAATGCCCATCACTGCCACCTACCAGTGCCTCCTTATCCTTGCCCATCACTGCAGCCTCGTTAGCGCACATCCGTAAAGGAGAAAAATCACTTATTTACAAAATTTTATAACAAAAACTAAGAAAAAAACTTTTTTTTTTTTCAAAATTTTCATTGGTTTTTGGTTTGTTTAAAAAAAAAAATAAAAAACCCAGAGGTGATTAAATACCACCAAAATAAAGCTAAATCTGTCACAAAAAAATGATAAAAATTTCATATGGGTACAGTGTTGCATGACCACGCAATTTTCATTCAAAGTGCAACAGTGCTAGTGGTTAAAGTGGTTGTAAAGGTGAATTTTTTTTTTTTTTTTTTTACATTAATGCATTCTCTGCATTTAAGTAAAAAAAAAAAAACTTTCATGTGCAGCACTTCCCTTCCCCCAAAATACTAACCTGACCTCGATCTTAATCCAGCACGGTGCCTGAGAGCACCAGTACTACTCGTTCTCTCTCTCTCACAGGACTCATTGAGAGCAGCGGGAGCCATTAGCTCCTGCTTCTGTCAATCATATCCTGTGATGATGTAGTGGGGGGGCAGGGCCAATATGCCCTGTGTGTCAATAGACATACACAGCCTGGCTCGTGAGTGAGCCCACACATTTGCCACCATAGGAAGCAGCTTCCTGTGGTGGTACATGAAGAGAAGGAGCCCAGAGCGACAGCACGGGACCCCTGAAGAGTAGGATTGGGGCTGCACTGTGCAAAACCATTTCAAAGAGCAGGTAGGTATAACGTGTTTGTTTGGTTTTTTTTTTTTTTAAAAAAGAACCTTTATAATCACTTTAATGATTGGTAAACTATAATATATCACATTATTGGCAAAGACATAAAGCAGGAGGATTGATCCGTCTGACCACCATGGAGCTACTATTTTTCAGAAGGAAATAAGCAATTAAGGTTTACATTTCTTTCCTGACAAGTTTCATTGTTTAACAATTGCATGTGCTTTTTCTTTTAATTTTGTACAGAATGTTCGATGTGGGAGGACAAAGGTCAGAAAGAAAGAAGTGGATTCATTGTTTTGAGGGTGTAACTTCAATTATTTTTTGTGTAGCACTAAGTGACTACGACTTACTCTTGGCTGAAGATGAAGAGATGGTAAGCAAGTGTTTAGTAGGCTTTTTTCATAACTATTTCGTAGCTATAATGATGAGATGGCAGCTTACCAATTCAGATTTTTTTATTCAGATCAGGTGACAGTAGATAGTCTGTGGGGCAGCTGGAGACAGTTACACTTGATAGATCTCAGGGAGGAACCAGTTAGACAGTGTTAGAAAACTTTTTCATATCAATATTGTTTTTTTTTGTGTCTGCTGGAGCATCTCTCTTCCTCCTTTTATAGCCTAAATAGTACAACGTGAGCATTTCTGTTATACCTCTGTGGCAAAATGCTATCAGAATTCAATAAATCCCTAAGACAAGGAAGGGATGGGTGGTGCTGCAACTTGACAGCCAGTATTCGATGGAAGCAGACAAGTGGGTGCCAGATTATCATCCACACAACTGTTGAAGCTTGAATCCATACACCTTGATCTGCACACCAGAGACCTGCAAGAAAATCTTTCTTTTTATTAATCCATCCCTAGGGATAAAAGCTCACAGAAATGATGATGCATTTCTGCCCAAAAGGGTCTTAGCCCTAACGACATATGGCCCTTATGACTAAGGCCCTTTTAGGGCTGTGGAATCCCTGTGAATGGATTCATTAAAAGGATGATTTTTCTGCAGCTCTCTGGCGTACTGATCAATTTGTATGAATTAAATAAATCCCTGCGAGCATTTTTCTGGCACTGTGGCCCTTTAAGACATCCTGCTCCAGACCAAATATCCCTGCCACCCATTTCAGTAGCTGTACCAACGTGGGCGGCAGATTTGAGTAGTTTTTTAATAGCAATACTTTTATAATGTGACGTTCTACAAAGAGTATCTCCACTTTTGTTGAGAAAAAAAAATATTCCCCTATGTACATTTCAAAATTTATTTTACAAACTTTGTTGTAGATTCCTACCATTTGGTATTCTGAACAACTAGCTCTTTGTGTCTATGAGCAGAGTGAATCTGTAAAGGAGTGGTTTTATAATTGTCAATCAGCTGCTGCACCTGCAGGGCTCTAATGAGGAGAGTGTAAAACCTCACCTTGTAAAACAACCCATTCAAATAGTAGTGAAATGCAAAATGTGTGTATAGATATAAAAAAAATTATAAATACCTTTTTCCCCCCCTTTATTTAAGTGATCACATACCCTCTGTTCTGTGCATAAGAGCTAGGGGAAAGAAACAGCTGCACACTGATCTTCCTAGTGAAAGGCTGTGCAGGAGGGGGTGTGTCAGTCTGATCATTGCAGGAGAGCAGACTGAGTTCCCAGCACAGCTAGAGAACTGACCACAGTGTGTTCTTAAGCCTAATGTGGTCAGTTTTTAATAGAGCAAAAGGACTGGCAGAAACACCAGGGATTTCACAGAAAGGAAGTGATACTAGGAGAACAGGATACAAATACATGGTGTACAGCAGGCACCTATCAGGAATATGAAATGTTGGGTTTAAATATTCTTTAAAGTGGTTGTAAAGCCTGAAGGTTTTTTACATTCGTGCATTCTATTTATGAAGGTTAAAAATTCCTCTGTGTGCTGCTCCCATCACAACCTCCAAACCCCCCCTTTCCCCCCCCCCCCCCCCCCCCCCCCCCCCCCCCTTCGACCCGGGAGCCTCAGCTGTCCCAGGTCTCTCTCTCGCTTCATTGTACACTGCATGGCTCATGACTAAGATGTGTGCCATTCAGTGACTAAAGATAAGCTTTGCAAGACCGAAAAGAAGCAATGAAGGAGATAGCGGTTGTTGATGGAGTGGTGCCTGGAGCTGTCATACCTGGAGAAGGGTACACTGTAAGTGTTCCCTAACTGTAACTGTGCTGTGCATGCTTGCATGTTAAGGGCAGAGCTGACCCCTGTAATTTTAGTTTTGCTTTAAGGTTTATTGCAGATTGCACAGCCTTACATGAATGAGTTCACATATCATACTGTCCAGAACCATATGGGAAGTATTAGTGGACTCTGATTCTTGAGCACTATATTATTTTTGAAATACTTTTAGGAAATGGCAGAGCTTCAGAGCATCCCTGCAAAGGCATATTCAATAACTTGTGCAGTGGGGCAAAAAAGTATTTAGTCAGCCACCAATTGTGCAAATTCTCCCACTTAAAAAGATGAGAGAGGCCTGTAATTGGCATCATAGGTAGACCTCAACTATGAGAGACAAAATGAGAAAAAAAATCCAGACAATCACATTGGCTGATTTGGAAAGAATTTATTTGCAAATTATGGTGGAAAATAAGTATTTGGTCACCTACAAACAAGCAAGATTTCTGTCTCTCATAGACCTGTACCTTCTTCTTTAAGAGGCTCCTCTGTCCTGCACTCATTAACTGTATCAATGGCACCTGTTTGAACTTGTTATCAGTATAAAAGACACCTGTCCACAACCTCAAACAGTCACACTCCAAACTCACTATGGTGAAGACCAAAGAGCTGTTGAAGGACACCAGAAACAAAATTGTAGACCTGCACCAGGCTGGGAAGACTGAATCTGCAATAGGCAAGCAGCTTGGTGTGAACAAATCAACTGTGGGAGCAATAATTAGAAAATGGAAGACATACAAGACTACTGATAATCTCCCTCGATCTGGGGCTGTACGCAAGATCTCACCCCGTGGGGTCAAAATGATCACAAGAACAGTGAGCAAAAATCCCAGGACCACAAGGGGGGACCTAGTGAATGACCTGCAGAGAGCTGGGACCAACGTAACAAAGGCTACCATCAGTAACACACTACGCCGCCAGGGACTCAGATCCTGCAGTGCCAGACGTGTCCCCCTGCTTAAGCCAGTACATGTCCGGGCCGTCTGAAGTTTGCTAGAGAGCATTTGGATGATCCAGAAGAGGATTGGGAGAATGTCATATGGTCAGATGAAACCAAAATAGAACTGTTGGTAGAAACACAACTCGTCGTGTTTGGAGGAGAGAGAATGCTGAATTGCATCCAAAGAACACCATACCTATTGTGAAGCATGGGGGTGGAAACATCATGCTTTGGGGCTGTTTCTCCGCAAAGGGAACAGGACGACTGATCCATGTACAGGACAGAATGAATGGGGCCATGTATCGTGAGATTTTGAGTGCAAACCTCCTTCCATCAGCAAGGGCATTGAAGATGAAATGTGGCTGGGTCTTCCAACATGACAATGATCCCAAACATACTGCCCGGGCAACAAAGGAGTGGCTTCGTAAGAAGCATTTCAAGGTCCTGGAGTGGCCTAGCCAGTCTCCAGATCTCAACCCCATAGAAAACCTTTGTAGGGAGTTTAAAGTCTGTGTTGCCCAGCGACAGCCCCAAAAACATCACTGCTCTAGAGGAGATCTGCATGGAGGAATGGGCCAACATACCAGCAACAGTGTGTGCCAACCTTGTGAAGACTTACGGGAAACGTTTGACCTCTGTCATTGCCAACAAAGGATATATAACAAAGTATTGAGATGAACTTTTGATATTGACCAAATACCGTATTTTCCAGCGTATAAGACGACTGGGCGTATAAGACGACCCCTACTTTTCCTGTTAAAATATAGGGTTTGGGCTATACTCGCCGTATAAGACTACCCCTCTTCCAACGTACACTAAATAAAAATTAAAAAACATCATTGATTTCAATATGGTATGGTGTTTCAGTATGGTATTCCAATGATGGGGTGCTATTCCTCCCACTGACACCAATGATGGGGCACGATTCCTCCCACTGACACCAATGATCGGACACTATTTCTCCCACTGACACCAATGATGGTGCCCCATCATTAGTGTCAGTGTGTGAGGAATAGTGTCCCATCATTAGTGTCAGTGGGAGGAATAGTGGCCCATCATTGGTGTCAGTGGGAGGAATAGTGCCCCATCATTGGTGTCAGTGGGAGGAAACGTGCCCCATCATTGGTGTCAGTGGGAGAATAGGAATCATAGTGCCCCCCATCATTGGTGTCAGTGAGAGGAATAGCGCCCCATCATTGGTGTCAGTGGGAGGAATAGCGCCCCATCATTGGTATCAGTGGCAGGAATTGCGCCCCATCATTGGTATCAGTGGCAGGAAAAGTGCCCCATCATTGGTATCAGTGGGCGGAAAAGTGCCCCATCTTTGGTGTCAGTGGGGAGGAATAGTACCCCATCATTGGTGTCAGTGGGGGGTGGAATAGTGCCCCATCATTGGTGTCAGTGGAGGAGGGGGAGGAATAGTGCCCCATCGTTTGTGGGGGCACACTTACTGGTCGCTCTCTCACTTCACGGGGCTCCGCCTCCTCGCCGGTGATTGGCCGCCTGTGTGCCTTTTCTGAGCTACAGTTCTGGCGCCCAATCACCGGTGAGGAGGCGGAGCCGAGTGGCAGCGCAGACATCGAGCGTCCGAACAGAATGAAGGAGCAGCTGCGCTTCCTGGAACAGATCGTCGTGGGACCTGGACCGGAGCCAGGTAAGAAACAGCAGCCCCCTGCCCGCCCCTGTACTTTGTGTCTCCTTCGTTGGAGGGGGGAGGGGGCAGCGCCACGCCACCCCCCGAAAAAGTGCCGCCCTGAAAGGACGACCCCCGATTTTTCAGAAGATTTTCATGGGTTAAAAAGTCGTCTTATATGCCGGAAAATACGGTACTTATTTTCCACCATAATTTGCAAATAAATTCTTTCCAAATCAGCCAATGTGATTGTCTGGATTTTTTTTCTCATTTTGTCTCTCATAGTTGAAGTCTACCTATGATGCCAATTACAGGCCTCTCTCATCTATTTAAGTGGGAGAACTTGCACAATTGGTGGCTGACTAAATACTTTTTTGCCCCACTGTACCTGCTACCATTACAAAGTAAGAACATAGTTTGAAATATTGGTATAATGTGAAATGCATTCCCATGGAATATATTGGGTAAATACTACTCAAATAAAAATGTGAGCCATGTAGGTTGAAATGAAGTTTAAGAATTGCTCTAAATTGTCATGAAACAAAACAGGATACATGGTTTATGCATAAATTCCTTGACTTCACTCAGTTACATGGGCTTTTCTTATCTCCCATTTACAGAACCGTATGCATGAAAGTATGAAGTTGTTTGACAGCATTTGCAACAACAAGTGGTTTATTGATACCTCCATAATTCTCTTCCTAAATAAAAAGGATTTGTTTGAGGAGAAAGTAACCAGAAGTCCACTGACCATCTGCTATCCAGAATATTCAGGTATAGGATCAGAAGGACATCTTCCTGGTGGGGTGATGGTGCTTGATACTGCCCATCCAGCCTTCCAAAAAATTTGGAACACTCTAATACTTTTTCCTGTAAAAATGTATCTTTTCAGGCGCTAATACTTATGAAGAAGCTGCAGCTTATATCCAGTGTCAATTTGAGGACCTAAACAGAAGAAAAGACACAAAGGAGGAGATTTACACACATTTCACATGTGCAACAGATACAAAGAATGTCCAGTTTGTGTTTGACGCAGTGACAGATGTGATCATAAAGTGCAACCTTGTTGAATGTGGCCTGTATTAATCTGGAGGTAAGATATTTCATTTACTCCAATAATACATGTGCTATCTGCGTGGAACAGGCAGATCTAGCCTATCTAAAATGTATTTCTAGTTTCTGTATTTGTAATTTGATTACTTTAAGGTTGTTAGGACATTTCCATGCACTTGGCTAAAAATGTTGTCACTTGATCTCAAGAACACAGTTGTGAGCCTTTTTTTGCTGTACTAGAACAGTTGAAAATACTATAGTTTAGTAATATTAGAGGAACATAAAAGGAAAATGGCTACACTCCTGTCGTTCTTATGTTCCAGGTGAAGATCTTGAAAGCACCTTTAACTTTTGCCAAAGTGAAAGCTAGTTTTTAAATATATTTTGTGAGGCAGAGAAAAAGTTAAAAAGACTTCCTGAGTGCTAAGCTGTGAGTCATTCTACAGTTAATCTAGTGCAAGAAATAAGACAAGTATTGTTTAACATGGAATTACACAGAGTGGCCTGAACCTCCTTTTCTCGGGTCCCCTGCCAGCACTCTTGGCTCTTGTAAATAAGCAAGCCTAGTTGCTAACACTCTCTGGTTAGTGGCCACTCCACTCAAAGATCTTCCTGATGCTCTATCAGTAATAGGTACACCAGAGTTGGACATCATGGCCTCCAGATTCAACAAAAAGCTGGACAGGTTTGTGGTCAGGTCCATTGAGCCCCTGGTTATCGCAGTGGATGCTCTTGTGATTCCATGGTCCCCATTCAGATTCTCCCTCTATTGCTTTGCAAGATAAAGGAAGGACAGACTTAGGTGATCTTCGTCGCTCCAAATTGGCCCAGGGTAACTTGGTACACAGACATACAGAATCCTAGCAGGTGAGCCTTGGTCTCTTCCACACAGGCCAGGCCTCCAGTCACAGGGCCCTCTAACCCACCCTGCTTCTTGGTTGCTGGCTTTAATGGCATATCTGTTGAAACCCAGGTCATAAAGGATTTGGCATTCCTGACTCATTCTCACCTCACCTAAGGCAAGAAAATATGTCTCTTGTAAGATCTATGATTGCACCTAGAGGGCCTACTGTGGCTGGTGCAAATACAGGGATCTCAACCCCTGCAGATTTTCTGTTCATCTCATCCTGGTCTTCCTCCTGTCAGGCCTTGACCAACATCTGGCTCTTGGTACCCTAAACGGGTAGGTTTCTGCCATATCCATTCTATTCCAGAAACTTTGGACTTTGCTTTCTGTTTTCAAGACCCTTTTATATATGGAGTTTCTTGTGATAATCTCCCACTCTGACCACCTGTGTTCCGTTGAGATCTGAATCTGGTGCTTTCAGTACTTCAAAAACCTCTTTTTGAACCAATTAATGATATCCAATTGGCGGATCTCATGGGTTAGGTGGAATTTTTGGTGGACATTACTTCCTTCAAGCATGTCTCCAAGTTGGAGGCTCATTGCTTGAGGACGTTCCATGGTGTACGACTTCCTGTTCTAAGTCCTGTACTGTATGACTAAGATAATGAGAATTTTGACCTACCATATCTTGGAATACAGTGCAGGAAATGGGTCCCTCCCTTCTGTCTGCTGTTTTCTCTTTATTGTTTATAAACTGCATTATATGAGGGTGCACAGGGGTAGAAAAGCTTATTCTTCAGCAGGTGATAATGGAAGTCTCTTAGAAAGGGTTAAGCCTCAATCACAAATTCCTCTGGAAACATCTATTTTACTAATTTAATCTGACATTAAGCCCAAAGCTATTAAACAAAAAAATACCCATATTTCTCCTCTGTTCATTGAGGGACATAGAAAGATTGTAGATCTCGAACCACCTGATTATAGCGCCACCTGCAGGAGTAGGGTGCTAGGCACAAAATACGAAAAAAAAAAAAAAGTGTCTAGTTGTGACCCCTGCTGGTGGCAAACACCCTGTCTGCTACAAGCAACCTCTGTTTTTTTTGACTAATGACAAGGAGTAAGGACCTGTTGGGATTCTTTTTTGTTCCCTTTTCGCATTTTTACATTTCTTTTTATTCTCCGGTGATTGGCTGATTCTCCAATGGCTAGTGAAGAGCTGGATATACAGTTGTGTTCAAAAGTTTGCATACCCTGGCACAAATCGTGAAATCTTAGCACTGATATTGAAAATATGACTGATCATGCAAAAAAAAAATCTTTTATTTAAGGATAGAGATCATATGAAGCCATTTATCACTTAGTTGTGTTGCATCATAATGATAAGAAAAATCACCGAAATGGCCATGATCAAAAGTTTTCATCCCCTGGAATGTTTGGCCTTGGTACAGACACACAAGGTGACACACACAGGTTAAAATGACAAAGGTTAATTTCCCACATCTGTGGCTTTTTAAATTGCAATTAGTGTCTATATTAATAGTCAATGAGTTTGTTAGTTCTCATGTGGATGCAGTGAGTAGATGCTGAGCCATGGGGAGCAGGAAAGAACTGTCAAAAGACCTGTGTAGTAAGGTAATGGAACTTTATAAAGATGGAAAAGGATATAAAAAGATATCCAAAGCCTTGAATATGCCAGTGAGTGTTGTTAAATCACTTATTAATAATGAAAATCCAGGGATCTCCTGATACCAGGCCAAGGTCAGGTAGAGGAAGAAAGTTTGCAGCCACAACTGCCAGAATTGTTTGGGATACCAACTAAAACCCACAGGTAACCTCAGGAGAAATACAGGCAGCTTTAGAAATATATAAACATAAAATATGCAGCGCTAAAAGAATCGATGATAAATGAATATTAAATGTACATATTATACACGTGCAAATAAGCAAAGTTATTAGGCACTGAGACCCATGACGTGAGTTCATATGGTATATCAAACGAAGAAAGGTGCATATAGTGACATTAGTGACAAAGTCAATCAATCCGATGGTAATGATAAATGGTGAAACAATCCGTGACTTCTGTGACTTAGAGAATAAATGTTGATTGCACTAACCAGATAGCGCAATCTTTTGCGCATTGGAGTAAATAAGACCTACTCCTGGTCATCTGGATCTGGAGCACTGCAACATGGAAGGTCATCAGGCCAGCAGAATCCAGGTGATATGCATCCAAAGGGGATAGCCCATCTACAAGTATTCAATTATCAGCCACCAGGGGGATCTTACACGCTATCATGTGTCAGGAATCACCTTGGGGAAGGGGCTCGTAGAACAAACAAGCCCAGAAGAGAGGTATCCAATAGTGTAGTATTTTATTAATGAGCGTAATATAAACGCAGATAAATTAACTTACATTTAAAATTTCCAAGATGGACGCCGGCCGTTCATAGGGACTGTGTGGGCTGTGGCCACTGTGTGGGGGCACCTCCCCTAGCTTACCTAAGCTGGGGTAGTTGGCGGCCCTATATGCCTGGCATGCCTATGACGGTGGCTGGCTGTTTCAGGAAAACGGTAATAAAAGTTTTCATTGCTGATGTGTGAGCCTTGCGGGCTCCCCTGCAATTATTCTTTATGCTTACCTATTTGTACAGCTTGCAAGCCTGTGTCTGTCACAGTCGTCTATCCTGTTCTTGGGGTCCCCTTTGGAGCCTCTGGGGTACTACCCTTTACTTCTGGCATAGATAGCTTTATTTTGCATATCAAATATGGTGTCCCTGAAATTTGCATACATCTACTTCATTGCCTTTTATTTACGAGGGGTGTCAGTTTCTCTGCTCACTATGCTTTTGAGGAAGCCTTTAAAAAAAAAAAAAAAAAAAAAAAAAAGTTGTCTTCTCATCCACAGTGGATCTACCAATTTCTAAACTCAATAAGGCTATGATTACCCTGGTGGAGGAGTCACTGTCTTTCAAAGATTCTATAGACGAGAGTGTTCGCTTGTCTATCCAGGTGCTGGCTCATGACACATCATTATGGGGGTGTATATATTTATATATTTTAAAATTTTTTTTATTAATAACTGTTGGTAAATGATAGAGATCTCTTGCTTGTTTGTGTCTCTCTTGCTTGTTTGTGTCTTTCCTGAGTACTGTATGAGGAGAGATATTTGGACCTAGTCTTCTTGAAGAGTGTATTAACCCTTGGTGGTCTCATTCTGTTTGCAAAGTGTGGAGGATATCTCCAACAAGCGTACATGGACCTGCTTATTTTTTTTATAAGAGGGCTCTGGTGAATGAACATCTTCACAGGGGCTATGCACTGAAGAGCACCTGTCTACAGCTTGATAGATTTGAAGCACTTACTCTGGTAAACATCAGATAGCTCTGTATAGTGATGGGATCCTGTTTTTTCATTCCCTGCTAAGCAGTGAAACAAAATGATCCCTTAGTAAAATCAGCACACCGTACACACATTAACACTTTCTAGGCACACAGTTAATCCTTTGATTTTCTCAGATGTTAACCCCTTCCTACCCAATGTCATTAGTACAGTGTCAGTATATATTATTAACATTAATCACTGTATTAGTGTCACTGGTGATGTCAGTTGCAGTTAGTCAGTTCCCACTCAATTACGGTGTCCCTCGCACTATCAGTCCTGCTGTATGTCACTGATCACCCCTATTGCTAGTATAAAAAAATTAAAAATTCCAGTATTCGTTCCATTATTTGTAGACACTATAAACTACATATACCAATTAATATTCACTTATTGGATTTTTTTTTTTTTTACATAAGACATGTAGCAAAATACATTGTGGTCTAAATTTATTAACAATTTGATTATTTTTTTTTTATTTTTATATGGAGTATGGCTTATAGCAAAAAGTAAAACATAGGGGTTTTTCATTTAAATGTTTTGTCTTTTTTTATTTATATAAATTTAAAAACCCAGTGGTGATCAAATACCACCAAAGGAAAGCTCTATTTATGTGAAACAAATTATATAAATTTTATTTGGGTACAGTGTTGCATGACCACATAATTTTCAGTTAAAGTAGCGCATTGCCCAATAGCACAAATGGCATGGTCATGAATGGGGAGGGGGGGTAAATCTTCCAGAGGTCAAGTAGTTATAATGATCAGCTTTTATTTATTCATGAAAAACAGAGAAAAATATCCACGCT